AAAAAAAAGGGAATTTTTTTTTTTAAAAAAAAAAAACGGAAGGATTTTAAGAAACCTTTTATATATAAGAAAAAAAAAAAAAAATCAATAAATATTATTGTTTAATAAATAACGAAAATTGCAATATATATTTTTTTTTTTTACTCTAATAAAATAAATAAATGTTATATTACTGATTTATTTTTAATTATAAATTTGATTGGCTTCTTTTATTGACGCGTCAAAAACAGAAAAAATATTTAAAGTATAAAAAAAAAAAATCAACTAACGTAAAGAAGTTAAAAAAGTAAATTGTTTGTAATATGTTGTAATACGTACATAAAAATTATTATAATAGACATGACAACCGACATAATGAATAATAATTGAATAATTGAATTCCAAATCTAATAATTGAATTATTTTTTTAGATATTACTAATCAAAGATATCGGAGTTGGTTTGATGAGGTTTGATGGTTGTTTAACATGTTTTAACATGTAACAAACATGTTGACAACCACCCACAGTATTTATTTATAGTCATTATATAATTGTTCGTAGATCTTATTTTGATTGATGTATTGATGTATAATATAGGTGTGATAATGAGCTGATATGGTAAAAAATAAAAAAATATAGAAGGAGAAGGAGGGAGGAATTAACGTCTTATTTTTTATCCCTGCATTCAATTAAGGTGATATTGGGTGATATTATATTTATTATATTATATATTATACAGATTATATTATACATAATATTATACTTTATACATTTTACATTTTACTATTTGAATATTAATATATTATTTTAATTAAACATTATGCCAAAATTATGTATTTATATGTATGTATTTGTACCATTAAGAGTTAGATATTTAAATTCAGGGTTCTCTACTAACCTTTCTTGGTTATCAATCCTATTAAATCATGATTTTAATCATGATTTAACGAAATTTTAATCTTATTTTTTATTTACTTAATAAATAATAAATAATTATTTCTTGTAATTAAGATTTTTTGTAATTAGAAGTGAAATAATGAGTTCTCGGGAATGTAATTATAAAAAAAAATAAAAAAGAAAAAAAGAAAAGAAAAGAAAAGAAAAAGAAAAAAAAAATAATATTTATAATGGATAATTATATAAATATTAGTTTTTTTAAACATTGAATATAATTAATTAAAAAAGATTTTTTTTTTTTTTTTTTTT